TTGTGCCTCCAAGGCCACGGGTCCCACACAGCCCATCCCGTGTGGGCGAAAAGGTCACCCACCCTTCAGCAGTGAATCACTCTCATGACTCTGCAAATTCTTTCTTGGCGTCATGAAATGACCCTTACGGTCTTCCGTGCCCCGTCACCCTTAGCGTGCGTGCGTGCGTGCAGGAAATAGTTCACAGAGGGGCAAGGGAAGAACCCCTTGGATATCCAGTCTATCTTCCTGCATAATGGATGCCGTGAAATGAAGCGAGCCTGGGAATGATCATGTGAGTTTGCTTGCCCTCGCCAGACAATAACATCCCAAAGTCAAGTAGTCAACTTGACTCCGCGTTTTGCGACGGGCAACTCAATTCATCAAAACAGAGAGAGGGAGAGGGACAGTAGCACAGCTGAACTTGATTTGGAGTGAATCAGAGGCCACCATTCAGTGTGCTTCTGATTCACCCCGCGTCAAGTTCAGATGTCCTCGTCAGCTTTTCCAGATATTTTGTGCTTTCGAGCAGAAGCCTTCAAGGTTTTGCAAGAAAGTGCCTTCCATCTTGGTGTCTTTTTTGGATGGATGGATGTTTTTTTTGTTTTGTTTTTTTGCTTGCGCCTCACCTCCATTTTATTTCCCCCCTCACCCCTCTCCCCCCCCAACTTTCTGTTCTAGTCTCCCAGTCCAACGGCAGCCTCAAGAAGCAGCGCAGTCGGAGCATCTTCAGCCCGTTCTTCTGCTGCTTTCGCAACTACAATGACTACCGCGTGGAGCCGCCGCTCGCCAACAACAAGACGCGGGCCCTGCCGCCGCCGCCGCCGCCGCCCGAGGAGAACGGCGCTCCTCTCAAGGTGAGAAGCGTTTGCTCTCTGCTCGACACTTCCTGTTGCTGCAGATTTTTTAGTCTTCCTGCTACAAATGTTTATTAGCTACTGTTTTGTTTTTTTTGTTTTTTTTTTGGGGGGGGTATCACCCCGCATCACGTTCAGATGTCCTCATCAGCTTTTCCAGATATTTTGTGCTTTCGAGCAGAAGCCTTCAAGGTTTTGCAAGAAAGTGCCTTCCATCTTGGTGTCTTTTTTGGATGGATGGATGTTTTTTTTGTTTTGTTTTTTTGCTTGCGCCTCGGGGGGGGGGGTCACAAAAACCTGCCGTTTGGACAGGGTCGAGGCTGGAGCCTTGTTGTGGCCCGGTATCGTAGCCTGAAGCAGATGTTGAATTCCCTTCCCAACTTTTGCTCTGGCGGCCCGTTCCGTATGACGCAAGGGTGTGTAATAAGCGCGCCCTCGCACTGGCTTCAAAGGGCTTCTTGTCGTCGAGGGGCTTTCGCTGTGATCACGCAGATAGCTCTGAGTGGATGAGCCACCTACTCCCATCGGATTAGCTTTTTAGCTCGTCCGACACGTCGGCTGGCGTGATGATGATGATGGCAGACCGTCCTAATGCTTTGGGCCATTTTAGGGCGCTGTCCATTTGAAAGGCGAGCCCCATTCAAGATCGCTTCTTGCAGGTCAAATCTGCATAGTCGTTTCACCTCCCGTCACACTTTTCAATCAATCCTCAGTTTCAGGGGAGCGAAGCATTGGATTGATTTCAAAGGATATCGGATTCCACCCGTGATAAAAGTGGTCACAGCCGCGCAAGAGCGCCAGTTGATTTGAACGCTTCTCAAACAAAGTGAGACGCCCGCTTTGTTTTTCTGCGTTTGGGGCCTCCGAACAGTCGCGGGCTTTTCATCGTGTGCGCTTCCCGCCAGGCGTCAAGCGCCGCGGCTGGCGAGCAACTTCGCAGCCTGCTTGCGCAACTGCAGCGGCGCCGTCTCGTCGCGCTCATTGTTTCTTCCCCGAGCTCTCGGTGTTTTCATTGCGAGCCCCTCCGCTCGTCATCTCCTTCGTAGCGGGCGCTCCAGAAGCAGCTGTCGGCCCCCCGCCAACCTCGATTCTGCTACTTGCGGTGGAAGTCTTCTTCCGACGTGTCTCTCCGGCTGTATTAGACTGCCCCCCGGTGGCCAGTGCGCTCCCATCAGAAGGAGCGGTCGCAAAAACGCTTTGGTTTCAGCTCGCGACAAAACGACGGGAGCTGCAAAGTCGCGCTGACTTCAAAATAACAACTCGAGTCGGAGAAAACGTCAAAATCAGGGATTCCCCGCACTCCTTTTTATGTCCCAAATTGGGATTGTCATCTCTGAAATGGTGCCCGCTGCCCAAATGTGCCGTGTTTTATTTTGCCGTTTGTTCGGGACACTTTGCACGCAGCCGAGCCGTTTCAAAGCGACCCCGTTTTTCCATTTGCATTATTAACGCAGCGGCTCTCGCTGCCACCGCCGCGCGCCCTCCGGGTGCCGACCTCTTGACCCGCTCGGCCGCTCGACCGCGACCGCCGGGCCCCAAAATCCAGTTGTCGCGGCCAGCACCGCAAAAGGGCTTGCTTGGCAAGGCCGCAAGATGGAAGCAAAGCAAAGCGCCTCCAACGGAGAGCATCGGAATGGATGGACGCCCGCGGCCGCTCCCGGACGCTTGGCCCCCTGGCAGCCCACCCGGCTCTTTGGCCGTGTGGGGCCGCGGGGACGCCTTCCGCTCCTGTTGTCGTCCTTTTGCCCTCACCTTTGCCTCGCCCCAAACCCGCCTTTCCTGCGTGGCGTCCGCATTTGTTGGATGGGTGAATGGATGGATGGATGTTTTTTTTTTTGTTTTTTTTGCTTGCGCCTCACCTCCGTTTTATTCCCCCCCC